TAAATATAATAAGTCTTAATAGAGATAGATGAAAATATACTCTTAATTTCTAATGATTCCTGCTAATGGTTCATTTTTTAGCTTAATAGTGGTTAACCTTTATACGAAATGCCAGCTGATGGTTCTTATAATAAAGCTTTGCAATGTACTTATTAATTTGATAAAGTTAATTAAGAAATCCTTTTAAAATAAACTAAATAAATTACCAGTTTTTCATACACCCTAAATAATACTAACTGGTTTATAACTACAACTGCATTAGGAAATTAGCAAATGGTAGGATTATATTAGATTGATGATCTTAATATTTTTATAATAATAACAAATCCATGCATAGCTGTAATATATGATGCACCACATTTTTTAAAATTTAAAACATATGTTACAATATTTGTAACTTAAACTTTCGTTTAACTATTTTATGATAAATTTAATTAAAGAATAATATTTTGTAGCCAGGATTATTCATAATGTAACATATATTCTTCATCCTTTTAGCTCATTAAGTCAATACCATTCACAAATGTAATTCAATTATATAATTATAGAAATTTATTTTCTATAAATTATTATTTTAAATAAATTTTTAATTATTAAACTAATTCTTTTTTAAATTAAAATTTTGATTTTCTAATTTTAAAACTTCTTGATTTAGATAAATATTATTAAATTTTCCAAAAAATAAATTAAAAAAATTAAAAAATTTTTTTAATAAATAGTAAATCGATCTTTCATAAACATTCTATATTAATTATCCTATAAATGTAATTGTTGCACCAAACAGCTAATATTAAATTTAAATTATGTATTTAGGAGACTAATATTAAAAGAGCTAACAGGTCTAAATAGTAGATATATCATTATATTCATCATAATTTTCAACATAAAATTAGTAGATTTTATATTAGATTATTGAAGATTTCTAAAAGGATATTCTAATCGTGTGTTTTAATGATAATATATTTTTTATTAAGATTTCTTAAATGCAAATAATTTAGTTTATAAATTATAATGACAATCTAAGTTAAAATTAAAAAGATGGATATATTTTATCAATAAACTTAGATAAACTAACTAATATTTTAACAGTAGTAACATAAATTTCTGTTATCATCTATGATTACTCTTCTATTTCTTTTTATGATTCATAAAATTTTTATAGTTTAGTTAATGATGGAAATATGATAGATTCGTTACTTATTGCTGATACAAACAAATAAATTAATTTTATCATAGCTTTTACAAATGAATTTTTATATAATTAATTATCTTTTTATAGAATTTCTTTGTAATATTCTAATATAACTCCTTACAAATAGATAGATTTAAGAGATTAATCTTAAGCAAAGTTTCCTTAATATGGAGGTTAACTTGAAAATGGTGATGATGTTAGTAATTACATTAATTATAAGATTAGAAATATGATAATAAATCAATAAAATTAATATCTTTTAATTCAATATCACCTTCTCAGATATAACCTTTATATTGTGAATGAAAAAGATATAAAACTGATGAAATCATTTTTTTTTGTAAGCAGCTAATATATTTTTTATACTTTGCTTGAAGAATCACCTAATTTCCCTATTCTATTTCTTTAAACCAATTAAGCTATTAGCGTATAAATACTTGATGATTTAAGCTAAGAATAAATAATCAATAATAGTTCCTTCAATCATACAATAGATGATTGCGATATTAGAAAATAAATTATTTACTGCTTGTGTTATTAAGGATAATTTTATTTAAAATTAGACTTAAAAAACCCATAAAAAATATAATTGTAAAACCTTGAATTGATGAACTAATTATCTAGCTATCAATCTTTTAAATTTAGTTAAAAGCTGAATTCGAATTTTTCTAACTACCCTCTTGTTTTTAAGTTAAATGATACTATATTTTGTTGGTATTTAAATAATAATAGAATAGAATAATATAAATAAACATAAAAGATTTAGTAAATATATTTAGGATAGCAATACATTTTAGTTTAGCTTCAAAATGTATTTGATCTATAAATTTATCCACTAGATACAAATGGCGAATTTGTTTAAATATCTTATAATATTTATTAACCTGTATAATAAACCATGGAAATTCTTTCCTAATAAGGTATTCCTTTTTATTAAAAAATAAAGTTAGAAAAAACTGATATTTCAGAACAATATTCTTAGTACCTTGTTTTGAAAACATTTTCTTAGTTAAATATTTATCTATTAGCAGATTTCTCACTTTATTTAGTAATAAGATAGTCTAATATAACAAATATACAAAACATAAAAATCATTCATTAATCTGTCTTCCTTATAGTTACTAAAGTGTCAATCGAAGCATATTAATTTTCAAAAAATTACTTTTATTTACTACAATCTTTGTAAGTTGAAAAACCTTTAATAGGATACAGTCAGATTTTACCTTTATAGTAGAAAAATACTTATTAAATTTCTTTGATAATAAGTTAGTAACATGATATAAGCTTAATTTAATATAATGTATTATTAGACAATGATTAATCCAATTTATAGAATAAATAATCAAATTTATAGTGTGTTTATAGCTTTTCTAACTATACTTAAGATTTATCACTCTTAAATTATAAAAAAGAAATAGAATAACTACAGCAATAGTTTATAATAACAGGATATGCAAATCTAAAAGTCATTTAAGTTTATTTCGCTCCACAATCAACTTTATATTTTAGAAATGATTTATTCTAACCACTAAGTAAAATTAGTTTTATTTTAAGAATATATTCTGATTCTGCAGATTCAACGATTTTCCTATTTGATTATGGGTAATATGACTTTGATAAAGTATAAATTGAAGGTTGCTCTCAATTAGAAATTTAAAATATGGCTTTGAGTTTACCAAGTTTTAGTAAAACTTTATAACCAGAATTCTCTATTCCTATCTATTTTAACTTAAATCAGTAATTATAAAATTTAAAAATGTTGAACATAAAAATTAATTTAGATCAATAAATATCGTTTATATTATAAAATTTAAGTTTATTATCAATTTAAAATTTAGAAATAACATTTTATGATCGCTCTATTTAAAATATAACTACCTAAAATGAATCGCTGATGTTAATAGCTAATGTTCAAACTGTTTACATCGATACTATTATTATTAAAAATGTAAACTTAATAAAATCTGAAAATTCTGTATAGAATTTTGTTTAATTTTTAAATATTTAATAACTTATTATATCAAATTTAAAGATTTTTGGTTCAAATATATAACTTAATAATCTATTCAGGTTTTAGAATGTATAAAATATTACTCTAAATAATACAGTATTGTAAGAAACCTAATTAATAGGACCATTCTATTACATTAGAAATAGTTCATTCTTTGTCCTATCAAACTTATCAATTTCAAAATGTAACTTCAAAGGTGATCAATACTAAGTTATATAAATGATAGGAGTTTCAAACATCGTATTAGATACTTTCGAAATGACCAATTCCTCTGCTCCCGCATTTCTTTAAGTCTAAGAATAAATAGATTAGAATATAATATAGATTACTTCTTAAATATAGATTTAGGCTATTAAAATATTAGAATGTTAATTTACAGATTTTAATTAACCATCTTTTTATTTGTCATCTATTTCATTTAACTGCACTGATTTACAAATTTAGTCAAGTTTTTATTTAAGCAATGTAATTCAGATATTTTCAAGCATAATTAATATTATAAATTCTAAGTTTGAAAAAAATACTATTAAGGAAACACTGCTAAGTATAAACGTATTTTAACAAAACAATTTATTGAAAACAAGCTAAATGGTTTACTTTTTCAATAATTAATTCAAATCAAATGAATTATAAAATGGATAAGTGCTCTATTATATAAATTAAAATAATATTATGATTATTAAATGTGAATTTATTGAAAACACTCTCTAGTAATCTTTTTATGGTTAAACTGCATTCGATTCCTCAAAAAATATTACGATTTTAAACTCTACTTTTTCTCAAAATAAGGTATTAAAAGGGTGTGGTGGAGCAATATACATTATTAATAGCTAAGTAACAATAAAATAATCTTAAATTATAGGAAACGAAGCTATAATAGGAGGAGGGATAAGATATTAAGGGCTTAACTCTTAATTAATAATAGATAAAAATAATTTAATATAATAAAATAAGGCTGTTCTATTTGGTTAGGATATAACTTCTTATCCTGAGTAAATAAAATTTGAAAAAGACTACTAAAATTTATTTTCTTAACTTGTATCAGGAAGTTTACTATCAGAACCAATAATTTTTTATTTAGTTGATTAATTTAATGAAAAAATAAATTATCCAATAAATCAAATTAAAAATTAAGTCCATCAAGAAATAATAGATGAATATGATAATTACATTGTAGTTTTATCAAATATAAATACTTAATTTTTACACATTTAAGGAAATATAATTGTCTATGATAATTTTCTCTCATTTCAACCTTAAATTACATCCATTCCCTCCTCCACATAATATCTCAATCTATAATTAACTAAATTAGTTCCAATTTATGACACATCAAAAAATTTATTTTCAAACAATATTATAAAAACTACAATAAAGTTGATATTTCTTGAGTGTTAAGCTGGACAAATTCCTAAAGGAGAGTTCAACCTAATATCTTGCTATTCTTGCCCAAACGGTAGAAGTTTTAATTAAAAACAATTTTATTGAGGTATTTATTTTATAATTTTAATAGGTACCTATTCATTCCTCTCATAATTCTAATATGATCAAGTTTATTCTTGCAATCATTGTCCTGAAGGTGCTAGCTATTGTGAAAAAGATATAATTATTCTTTAAGATGGTTATTGGAGGGTATCATAATAATCCGAATAAATATTTTAATGTCAAAACCCTAAAAGTTGCATCTAAACTTCAAATTAATAAAAATTAAATATTTCTCTTCAAATGTCAACTCGTAAAATTTTTATTTAATTATAGAGCTAATTTTTAATTTAAATATTAGATAACTTTTAAAAATCAATATGCCTTGAAGGACATTTAGGAGCTCTTTGTGATAGTTGTGATATTAATGGTAATCTTTGGGATCAAAGGTATTCTTTGAGCAATGATACCTTAAATTGTAAAAAGTGTTCTAATAATATTTTGAATTATATTTTATTTACAATTATTTTTTTGTTAATTCTTTGCTATCTAATATATTCATTTGCTAAAATATCACATTTTACAACCTAAAAATGTATTTTGATCTATTTAAGAAAAATGAATTTACTATGTATTAGTAAATCTTCGCAATCAGACCAAAATACTGTAACTTCAAAGCTTTTGATTAATTATGTATAAATTATAACTATAGTTTTCTAGTTTACTAATTATTCATAATAGCTATAACTACTTTTAAGCATATTTGGGGATCCATCTTCATAATCATGGTAATTAGCATAGTTTATTTTTAATTAAAATTTACAAAAAAATTTCTTTTTAAATTAATAATTTAAGCAATTTTGAACTCCAATAAAAGAACATTTATTTTACATTATTTTTAGCTACTGTAAAATCTTATTTATAACATTATTAATTAATAAACTAAAAAAAGGATATCCCTTGATTGTATTCTAATTTAGCTATAAATTGGAAATATTCTTACAAGAAGAGCACTTTTTAGAATATTTTTATTTTTAATTTATGCTTTAGTTGTTTTTTCAATAGTACTTTTGATAAGAAAATAAAGCAGTAAAAATATGATAAAATATGAAATAAGATCATCATTCATTTTTCTATGTTTATTTTTCTCTCCAAGTATCATTAATTATTTTGTATAATAAATGAGCTGCATTTCTATTGGAGATCAAAAATATGTTCTGATAGATAAATAGTATATTTGTTTTAGCGAAGATCACATTTAAGTTATCAAGTATGTGTTGATACCAACTTTATTGACACTATATTTAATTTTACCTTTATTTTTATGGTATCAACTTTATTCACGAAGAAATACTTTACAGAGAATCTAAAGCATAAAAAGCTATGGAATTTTATTCTACGAGTATAGAAAAGAAAAATACTATTGGGAAATTGTTAAAATAACTTAGAAATCTTTAATTTACTTATGTACCTTATTTAACAATGTTGGCAATAAAGCTATTGTTTCCTTTTCTGTACTTATCTCTTATGCCATCTTATCAAAATACAATAGACCATATAATTCAATACATTTAAATAATTTAGATTATATTGCAACTATCATTTAGTTTCTCTCTATTGTATTTTCATTACTGATTAACCTACTTGAAAGTACCTTTATGAAATAAGCTATGACATACTTTGTAATAGTATTTAATTTTGCTTTCATAATAAGAATGCTATTTAATATGGCTAAATTTTAAATTCCTTTTGATCCAAAATAAAGAAATTGTATTCACAATTTAATATTAAAATCTTGGCCAGTGTTACCAAATTTTATTTAAAAAATGATAAAAATATAGAATTCAAACCACTTCAAAATTCTTTAAAAATGGACTCTTATTTAAAAGCAATTTTTTAATTATGTTGATATAAAAAAAGAAAGCAAATAAACTGTATTTGATGAAGATATGCAATAATTTATTGATAGTAATTTAATATTTAACATGAGAAAAGAATAAAATAATTTAACATAGTCTGATAGCAAGAAAAAATTAATAGCTTTTAACAATACATAAAGCAATAAACTAGCTTTTTAAACATCAAGTTTTAAAGATCTTAGAAGATGTATTTTATAATTTAAAGAATTTAGTTAATTATTTTATTTTTAATATAGCTTAACAATCTAATACAGGCAAAAAATTCAAGCTTTTAAGATTTGATAAAGAAGAAAGTAATAATATTTATTGTTAACATTTTTTAAAATTATTTTTTAAATAGATTTTTTTGATGAAAGCATAAAAATCAACTCACCTTATTATTCGAATACAAAAACATAATAAAAAAACACTATTTAAAGTTTAACAATAGAAACAAGTGAGGATATATTCAGTCCTATTTAAAATAAATTAAGTTAAGATTCTTGATATATTTTTTAAAAATAAATAAATATTTTTGTAACAATTTATAAAAGTGATATATGTGTTTTTCATCAAAACATACATATATAATTTTTATAAAAATAAATTTTCTATTCTTAATTAAAATGAACAATATTAATAAGCAAAAAATAAGTATTTAACTTTAAACTCTAATTTTTGGTGTTAAAATTATACAATTAAATCATATTGAAATTATAATTAAATCAACCATTTTCATTTAAATTCTAAAATTTTATTTCAGCTATTATTTTAATTTTTTTAAATTTATTTTCATATTATTAATAATTAATATAAGAGTTTAATACATAAATATCTTAAAATAAAATATCGGGGTTGGGGTTGGGGTTGGGGTTGGGGTTGGGGTTGGGGTTGGGGTTGGGGTTGGGGTTGGGGTTGGGGTTGGGGTTGGGGTTGGGGTTGGGGTTGGGGTTGGGGTTGGGGTTGGGGTTGGGGTTGGGGTTGGGGTTGGGGTTGGGGTTGGGGTTGGGGTTGGGGTTGGGGTTGGGGTTGGGGTTGGGGTTGGGGTTGGGGTTGGGGTTGGGGTTGGGGTTGGGGTTGGGGTTGGGGTTGGGGTTGGGGTTGGGGTTGGGGTTGGGGTTGGGGTTGGGGTTGGGGTTGGGGTTGGGGTTGGGGTTGGGGTTGGGGTT